TTTAAAAAATGGGTATAAGTTAAATGGGGGCGACCAAATAGGGCGCCCCGTGCAATTTTTACTGTTACCGGAGTGAGGTAATTAATATAATGAAAGAACAAGAGACAACACCAGAAACCTATCCCGTCACTAAGGGGAAAAAATTAAAAAAAAATAGTCACATTTATAACTGGTAATTGCAAAAATAGCTACAATTTTAAAAGTAATTAAAACATAGCCACTTTTTCATGTAAAGATAAAATTTGAACAAAAACATCCTTAAAATCCGAAAATATTCCAGCATAATATAATGGAGTTTGAATTCTTTATATATGAGCTTTCAGCATAATGTGCTGGAGTTCCAACATAATATGCGGGAAGTTTACATGCAGGAGCTAGAGATGGCAATTGGGGCTGGGCGGGGCAAGCTTTGACCCACTAAGATGACCCGTTCTGCCCTCGCCTGTTTAGCCTTTTTCTAAAAAAAATCCTTGCCCTGTCCTGCTTAGCCTTTTTCGATAAAAAAATTCCCTGCCCTGCCCCGCCCTATTAACCTCGGCCCCGTTTAGATTTTCTTTTATTTATTTTCTCTTTATTTAAAATTGACATGTCAGTAAAAGTATTTTATTTACATAAAATAGTTTATTTACATTTGTTGAATAAAATATAATTTTTATCTGGCTAAATTTATTTAACCTTCAATTAATTGATACGTGTGTTTGTAAAAACTGTATATATCACCCTCAAATATGGAGTAACTAATATAGATTTAAGATAACTCATAGATAACTAAATTATGTAACAATTAATAATTTGTAAAGATTCACAAGCAAACCAATGAAAAAGACACTTCAATTCATTGAAATTTGAAGGTTAAACGCGTTGTTGCCACAAAGATCATAATCAGAATTTACCGATACTTACATGACTAAAACCGCAAATTCCCCTTAAAAAAAGACATTATATTGTTTCTAGTTAATTGCATTTTGTTAAAATTCCACCGAATCATTTCCTTTCCCCTCTCTGGTTTGGGTTGTTATAGAGCTTATCCAAAAGTGCAAAACCTTGCAAATTAACGTAATTAGAAGTCATGCGGATCAACGAAAATGATAACAAACTGGAGATGCCCCGCCCTATTTAGATCTTCCCCTGCCCTCGTGCCATGTCCATTTTGAACATATACCTTTCATAAAAAAACATATCAAAAGCTACATATAAATCCAATCTCTCACTCTTCATTACCATCATATGGACATAACATCTTGAAAGCTCTCTCTCACCTAGAGGAATATAAAGCACAATGACACCAAGTCTATCATTACATAGCACGTAAACTGGAACAAGGTCACTTCTCATGTATATAGAGTTCAAAACTGCAAGCAAATCCACATTCCACACTATTGCAAAACCTCTGAGAAATATATCCACAACTATCTCAACCTGAGAAGCAATAAAACATAAGCGTTAGTCTCTTCTTAAGACGGCTCTTCAACCATTTTCAGGGCTTACTAGCAAAACTACTTTATAGGAAAAATTAAAGCACCACCAAACTAGATATAGTACATAATGAAAGTAACCAAGCAAAAAAAAAATACTGCTCCCAAGATCACTTCAAATGCACCTCTTAAAATACGACCAACGTAACCCCCAAAAAAGAAGAAGAAAGAAACAGATTTATTATTAAAAAAATAAAGGACTCAAGATCCGACCAACCTTAGAAGCATTTCCTGTGAACAATTGCAGGACCAGATTCATCGTACTCGGCCTTTGAAATCCACATCTGCATATTAAC